ACAATTATTGTCTAAGTTATTATAAATCTTTACATAAAATGATAAACGTATGTGTTAATTGTAATAAACAAAAACCGCATAGAAATTTTTCTTTTAATAATATTAACGAATGACTAATAATTACTCTGCGGATTTTATGCATTTACGAAGAACAAAAACGAGTAAATGAAACAGAAAGCAGTGAAGCTATTAGAACAATGTAATAATTTTATTGTATTATTTATAACTATTTAAAATTATTATATATTCAGTTCTTGTTTCTAGCAATCGATGTGTGATACATAATTTTTATTTTCCATAAAGATCCGCAATGTACTAATTATTTTTATTATTTTGTTTTACGCCTACGCACTCTTGTAATAAATGCATAAAATTCGCAGTCTATTATTACAATAGTTTACAAACGTTTTTCGACAGTAACCGTATATTTTAATTGCATGCATTTGATCTTTCGGAACGCTAATATTTAGCAGGCGAAGCTTTCACAACGCCGCTCAAGTGCATATACAGTTAAAGCAATTATTTCTGGCAGTTGGACATCTTGTTACAAGACCGTGTCTCCGTTTTGTCATCTCAGTGTCGGTCGTGCCACCGTTCGTTATGACAAAACTCTATTCCTATGAAGTAACACGTTCACGTCTTCAGAAATGAGTTTTCTCGAACGTATTCGTAATTTCGTGTTTCTCGGTTCGATTTTGTCCACTGTTTGTGTTACAATTGGACAACAGTGCTTCGATGACGGCAACGAGATCTGCATCGACGAAAACGACATATTATCGGTGGATCTTCTGCCTGGATCATTCCTGTTCCCGGATCAGCAGATAGCGAAAAATACGTCTACCGTTCTCGATAACAAAGTGGTCGACGGATCTATTAACGATGCGTTAAACAACATGGAATTTCACAGGTAAATCGCTGATAAATCGTTTTCGTTAAGACCATGGCTTCCGAGTCTCGCCCGCAACCATATTCTGTGCAAACACGAATTTAAATTTCTTCTAACTGTTAAAAGAACAAATTATTATGATATTTATACATTCTCTTGTCTTTTTTCCCTATCTAAAATTGTGTCATAGATATAATCAATTATTAGAAAATAAACAATATTAAAAAGGAATTTAAGTAGTTTGTAAGTATTGTTCACAATGATTTTTCAATTATTTTGAGAATCTTTCTCCTCGATTTCATTGTAATTTAAAAAGAGTATTTTTCAATTTTTATTTAACATTAGCATTACTTTATTAATCTGTTCTATTACAAATGAAATAGTATCCACATTCACATAAATATATGAAATGAAAACAGAGATATTTTAGTTTTATTTTGTGCGCACGTTTCTTTGAAAATCAATCGTAAAACAAAAAGTTAAGGTATGATTTTCCTCAAACTAGGAAAAGAATGAACGAATACTTGTGCCACGGGTACATGGCTATGGAAATCGTGAAGCTGATGAGCACACCCAGAGTTAAAAGGCGACTGGGCACCTCGGAAAATAATGAACTGCGTGACTTGGTGGATGTCGATAATGTTACTGTTCACGACAAACTGTTGGCGGACGAGGGAAGCTTGAAATATAAAAATTGGCTGCAACGGTAAATAGTCGAGTTCCCCAGGGAGAATCGAAGATGTAGTACCAATTACTCTATGCGTATCAAAAGGATGACTGGACGATGAAATGCACTGTTGCATTTATTTTGTTGAGAATGCAAAACAAAGATAGGCTCATTCCATTCGATGCATGAGTGAATCAGCCGCTATTTTCTAAATTTTCAGTTGTTAGTTATTGTAAATAGCTCCATCATCGTTCAGTAGTATCTATTAGTTCAAAATTTTAGTTGTTTGTTCTTAAGTTATCATTTTATTGTTGCAAACAAAAAATGAGGAAAAGAAGATCTCCACTTTATTCGAAGAGCATAATTGTATAAATATACTTCGTGCAAAATTAAAAACAGTCTTATCACCGTTTGGTAGTATATATTGATTAGAAATATAGAAATTTATTATACATTTGACATTTGACCTCCATTTTTTAAACATCTATTTCAACGAAATTGAAAATAGTCGCATAATCTTGCAGCAGTGTTCGTTCGTTCAAAATTTAGTTACTTCTTAATTTATCCTTTATATTGTTGAAACGTAGTTGCTCATTATACGTTTATCATTTTAAAAATACCGAATTGCAGAATAATCTTCATTCAATGCATACATGCATCGATCTCCAATTTTTAAAGAATTATTTTTAAAAAATTAAAAAAAGTTGTATCATCTTTTGCTTCGAGTACTTGTTATGAGACTTCAGCCTTTAGTTACCGTTTTCGTGTTCGACGAAAACGGTAAAATAATTCGCCGGTGTCCAATTTTGCCTTTTATTTGATTTAGCGTGATAAAATCACGTCACAGGTGTATTTGTTTATTTAGGAGGACTACACTGGACGACGTGTACCGACACTATATTCCTCGTAAGAAAATGGGTAAAGTTCATGGTTCTAGGGATGATAATATCGAAGATTTCGATGGTGAAGTTACGGGATACGCGATGCAAGCGCCATTACCATCTGGCAAAGTAGGTTTCTACGAGGGAAACGACGGAGACGATGGTAAAAACAGTATCTCGATTTTGAGCATACAATAATAGAATTTAGAGTTTACCAATTTAAAATCAATTGTTCTGACAGATCACATGATCTCGTCTTCTTCCGGTCATAATATTTACTACGGCCATTCTTACGGCCACGGGGGTGATCCATACTCTCATCACAGCGAAGTTTTCCCGGCTATACACGAAGAACACTATTACCCACCGATACAGTATAACGAGCATCACGAACACGAAGAAGAGTATCATAAACCGTATTATTATAAAGGAAAAGGGAGCGAACTTTCGATACAAGATTTCTTCGAAATTGCTCTTACGGCGCTGGCGTTTCTAGCGTTCGGACTGTTTGTCATACAACTGTTAATGAACATGACGGTGCAGTATAATGTTTCGATTTGTGAAGAAATGGACAGTTGCCGTTGTAAATACTTAGTTTGTAATTTTTTCAGAACACTATGACTACGACTATGGCTACTGTAGTGACCACTGCTAGACGTTCCAAGAGAAATATTGCTGGCTTGCCTTTCTTTTATAACAGCAACGAAGAATTGAACGAGTTAGCTTATAATGTTCTGAGATCTATCGAGGGTGCTCTTGTGGCTGATCTGGATTCCGGTAATTGTCTTCGCAGGATCCTTTGCGAAGGAAACAAGCATTCCACGCAGACCGCTGATGCACGAAAAATTTGGGCTCCCGTTTGGAGGTGAGTTCATACACATATTATTGTAAGTTAATAGTACCAAAGTGATAAACTGTGGATCATTTTCATGAATTGTTTTATTAAAATCGAAACAAAGAAAAGATTCTTTGAACCAACTAAAAAATTTCTTGCGGTGAACGTAGAATATTAATATAATTAATTTTTATTACTATGCACGTTTATTTGAATTTTACAAACTTGCATACACTATAAATGCATAAAGTGATAATAGTAGATACGTATATGTATCTATGAAAGTATTAGTGACTTTTATTAGCCTGAATTTTATACTAAACATACAGTGCGTCCTACACAAGTAAAAATAAGACTAATATGTTATATAACAAAAAGTCCACGAGTGATGTTGATTTTTGTAATTAATTCGTCTCTTGTACGTCTGCGTTATCATATTTCTCACATTTCATATTTCTGTGTCAAAACTTTTGAACAGAGCATTTATGGACTTTTTGTTAAATAACATTTTAGTCTTTTTTTTACTTGTAGAATACACTCCCGAAGTATGTACGGAAAAATGCAGCACATTGATAAACCGGTTACAAAAATGCGGTTATTGATAGCATAACTTCTACATAGCAATATTTTGAACATAAAAATTGTCAATTAAATAGCGTCATGTTGTTGTTCATAAGATTGAAAGCAAGGGAACGTTGCCGAAAATAAATAATTTTGATATTAGAAATAGATTTGAACAAGTTATATTTAAAATTGTGGTATTTTATGAATATTATTGTTAGGTTCACTGATTTTATAGTAAAATTATTATTCACTCTGTGTAGTAAAAGTTGTGCACAAAAAGTGTTAGAATGGTTCAAAAACGATCGAAAAACCAGCATATTCAATAAGTACAAAATTTGTTATTCAGTTTAGGAATGAGCTGGCTATCAGGGAGAGTAACGAAAGGATCACCATGGACGTCAATGATGGATTCTCTGAAAGCCTCTATCCTTGGTCTAGGCAAAGCCGACTGTTCCGTTTTATATCCTGATTGCAATCTCAAAAAGGAAAGGATTAAAAGGCTTCGGAAGCGTCGAAGATAATTAAGACCAAACCACGATTTGTTAAAATTTATGCATAATTTCAGGCAGTCTACAACGTATTTCTTTATTTTCTAAACAGTCCCTTAATTGAAAAATATAATGTACATCGTCCATAGCATTTTAGTTTTACAATAACGACTACTCTGTACGTAGTGTAATTCAACCCTTTGCACTCGAGTGGCGACTCCAAGACGACGCTAAAAATTGCTATACCGTTTCCGAAAGAATTTTCACATTATTAAATTTGTCTGTGTTCGATAAATTATCAAATAATAGAAGTCTTCTATAAGCATACGCGTTCAATTTCATATGTATCAAATAAAAACGAGCATGCCAAATGGAAATGCTATAAGGTTGAAACAAATGTCTTCATTTTGGAGTTAAAAAATAGACTCTAGTGCAAAGGGTTAATATTAAACGCACTGTTCTATAAATAATCTATATCTTTATTTTCACTTTATTCCAATATAATCATCTTTATTTAAAATAAAGATGCCGTTGTACTTGCCCATTGTAATGAATAATATTTTATTACGTAACAACAATCAGCATGAGAGAGCTACACGCTTGTTGAAGCCACATCAACTGTAGTTTGATTGGGCAGGTCCGTTTTACTGTAGATATCCCATGGAAGTGGTAAAAGGGACGCGTACGTGGAACCCGATGGACAAACGTGGAACACAGTCCTCTCTTCTCTTTCTTTCAATTCCCGGACGTTTGATAATATTGGCATGCCTTTTTCATTCGTAAGAGTTCGAAATGTTCGAACCTGCACAAACAAATGTGTACAGCTCGAATAATTTTCACACGAGAGCACTGTATCTTTGATATTTCTTATCCAATTGTTTCAAATTTGAATGCTTAAACGAAACGATCGGAATCATTTCTGAATGACTGATTTTTATAAAGGTGAACGAAAACTTTTCATATTGTTACTTCACTACCTTTTCTATTATTTTTCTATTATTTCTACTGTCTGTTCTAGAATGATTAAGGTCTATAGGAAAACTAACGTGTCTAGGAGGACTACCTTAAAAAATGTCGAAAACATGAATAAACAAAATTAAAAATGCTTCTAAGTATACTTAGTTGCATGTTTGCCGAAAAGATCCGTCATTTTTGTGTTAAATAAAAATCTAATCAACGGAAATCGTGTGTAGCTGAAATAATTAATTCAACGAATTTTAGTAAAGACGTTATTACAAGACATTGTAACAAGACTTGAAAAAGGATTTTGACAATCGGTATGAACTTGCTTGTTCAACGGAAACTCCTATTGGTTCCCTGCTTATTATCCAAAGGATTCTATGCGGATTCGTTCGCAATATTATTGAGCCCCAGTACAAGAAGTAATCTTCGCTGAATGGTCTCATTAAAGTATTTAAGCTCACAGGCACCAAGCGGACCGAGGAATGCGCTGCACGAATCTCAGATGCGTGTCTCAGAATGTTGTGGATAAACTTGTTTGATTCGTTCTGCAACTAAATACATGCGAATATTATAAACAGGATCTTAATCTCATCGTTACTTCCCTTTACCTTGAAGAAGTACACCACGATGATAATTCCGTCAACTTTTGTCAACGCTAAATTAAACTTCTCGTATTCGTCCTTGAAGAGCACTACGTGAAGTTCCATCGGCATACTTCAAATAAAACGAAATAAAATTGTGTTAGAGGTTATAATTATGTAAACGTAGGGTGAATTTATCTTCTTAAATGTTTGCTGAGAATGATATTTCATTGTAATTTTATTTTATATTATTCCGAGTCATTTGTTCTGGCAGGAATTAACGATTGACGACTTTGAAATCGTTAAGCAAAAACTATATAGATAAACATATGAGCCGTTTATTTTGAAAGTGGCGTAAGTCACTTTGTTTTTAAGTCGGTCACTTTGCTTTTATGTCGATATATTTAAGGATTTGCGTTTTAACACGTTTCAAAATATGGATACTAACTTTCGAGAAGATTTACTTGTATTTGTTATTTCAGGATACTGATATTTTTCTCAGTATAAATAATTTCGTATAAACATTAAAAAATCACCACTTTTCATTACGGTCAAGTGACTTATGCCACTTTCAAAATAAACAGCTCGTATCTTAAACCTTGCACCGTCGACCGAGTGTTCGCTACCGTTCATTTCGTTCTCTCCCCAGTGGAAATGAATTTGCGAAAGAAGATACTTCCCCAGAAGTGGACCGCCGGTGACATAAGCTCTTTCCGTTTCCCAGGTTGTACTAAGGAGTACTATTATAGAATAATTATCTGGAACGATCAATCTAACGTGTGCCACAATACAGAAACTATATACTACCCGTGAAGCCAGTGTTAGTAACTTTCAATTTTCTTGGTCTCACGTCGACGTTAACCCATTGGATAGGGTTCAGTTCAATAATCTTCATGAAAGTAATGTCCAAATTGATCGGAGATTCAAAGTGACCGTCGACATAGCCTAATTCTTGAATCAACTTGGCAGTTTCCGTGTACGGATCGAGAGTTTCTATAACAATGCGTCTACAAATTAATCATTAAAATACGCCTGGAAAGGTTGCAATATACTCTTTGCTTTCATCGATCTGTACTTGAGATTTTTGACATTTATATGTACCTGCTGTCTCCATTTTTAGTCGAAGTTCAATTTAATACAGAATGCTTGATAATTTTTCAACCGACTGCAACTTCAGTATGTTTTTTTATTTCCAGTCGGATAGCGTGCATTCTGGAGTACATAATCGAACAACAAATTTCATCATGAAGAATTAGAATTCTTCATTCTTTAATTTCATCCTCTTGTCGTTGACATTTGAAATACGTATGTACCTAGGCCGAATAAATAAATAAGCTATTACGTATGTATTTGTTGATCTTACTTTATGGTTCAGTCAATTTAATATTGAATTATAAAACTCGATTATTTTGCAACCAACTGCAACTTCGCGATGCTTCTCAATGCCAGTCGTCAACACTCTGTCGTAGCGTACACGCAGGAAATCGTTGAGGAAACAGAGCGATCAACTTGCGCACACGTAATTGTCACAATGGATTACGCTCGAAAAATCGGCAAAACCGACGAAGCTGAGAGTTGGAGAAGGCGAATAGTGTCCAGCGTAAGTGTATCCGACGGTATGTTCGAGTCAGATCAAATCTTCTCCGAAGATCCTCCACTGGTCAACTGGAAAGGATGGTTAGCAAGACGAAGGAAACAGTACGAGCACATCGAGTCGTCGACCGGTCGTCATCGGACCGACCAGATTATAAATACCTGCGAAACCATTCGGCCACTGATCGAAATGCGAGAACTGATGGATTACGCTAACATCTTGGAGCCGGTGCTTTCCACGAATCTTCGCACTGTGCCGAAATTTTGGAGAGCACCAAAGACACTGCCGAATCATGACAACCCTTGCTTACCGATCGTCGCGGTCGCAGCTAGCAAAAAGGAATCGGACAAACCAGAATTAATGTACGTAGATTTGCCGGAGCTGATAGAAAAGGAGAAGGACCTCGTTGGCTTGAAGACTAAGCAGCCGTTATGGAAGCAAAGCCAGTACTTAAAGAGCCGAAAATGCCAACTATCGAAAGAAATTCAGTCGCTTGTGCCGCACGAGCCGAAAACGAAACATTTAACGATCGAGGGTCACGGATTCGCGAAGCCAAAAGCCAAAGAGTACAGAAGACTGCCGGTGATAACGCTCTCCGACGCTCTATTGGAGAAAGATGAGGGAGAAGTCGCGTGTCATCCGGAAGAGCTTCGAGACCAGACGATCGCTTTAAGGATCGAAGATCGAGATATAGTCTGGGAGAAGTGCGCTTTCGAACTTGGCCGAACCGATCCAATCGTGTGGAACGTGTGCTTCTCTTCGCAAATGAATAAAATGGTAGAAAAAGAGATCAGATTAGAGAACAAAGGCAACCGTGTAATCATTTACGAATGGCGGAACGCGGTCTCTTTGCCGTCGATGCTGCCGTTGAGAAGACGAGCGAGTCCGTTCTTTTTCAATAAAACCAAAGGAGTGATTCCGCCGGGGCAGATCGTTGATATCAAATTTTGGTACTTGCCTCGTATATCCGGCATGACCTCCGAAGTCTGGAGGTTCAAAACTGACCCCGAATTGTGCCCGTCGCCATTCCACTTCCGCCTATCGGGCTGCTCCGACACCGCGATCGCGGATCGGTCGGGTGCTGTTAAATCTAGCGACGACGCCGACGTCGATGATTATTTAGATCATTGCATTCGGGAAGCGGCGATACGAGAGATACTGGAGGAGATGTTCGAAAACATGGACTATGTGGAGCTGCCCGAACCGTTCTACGGCAGTCTGTTCTTAGAATCGGAGGTCTTCTTAGCGAAGAATCCTCTGTGCTTCTACCACCCGAGTCACGTGATCGAGTTTCGCAAGCTTTATCACACCGCGACGAATCACAACGAACAGCAATGGAATTTATGCATAAGAGACCTCCGCGAGACGTTGACGAGCATCCGGGATCCGGAAACCAGGCAGGATATGCTCTTGCAGCTCAGTCGATTGTACAAAGAATGCCTAAAGCCTGCTCGTCGCGTCCCCCACAATTACACCAAGCACGAAATGGTGTCCAATTTGCTCTGCGCGTTTTTCAATCGTTTCGAGCACGAAAGTGCGCACGCGAAACTCGCTTGCTTTAAGAAGGAACGTAGAGAATCTATCGTTACGGTGTCGGAAATGGGCAATGGTAAATCAACGACGTCGCAAAGAACTGTCATAAGCAATAATTCACGGAACAGACGGGGAAGAAGATCATCTTCCCGCACGCAGAATGCTCATGTTCCAGAGGTTGCTAGAAAGAACTCTTACTTTATACCCGATGATCGTGCTTACAAAGAGATATTTTTCATCCGCATTCATTACCTGTTAGGAAAAATGGTGGATCAGGTCGTTGCTGCGGTTAATTCGTTTAATAACCTGAACGAGCCTGACAAATAACAGAAACATCGTATGCAGTGTAGTTTAAACGCGAATAAAGAGCGCAGTTAGTGGAGAAACGTAGCGCACTCTTAGAATATACAGACAGTCCAATTATTCTCTGAGCATTAAACCTACCGAGTATTAAAAGTAACCGACGCGTGATACCTTTCGTGAATGGTAAGATTAAATTCGTTTAAACTTTTTGCCATTTTTATTAGAACATACGCTTGACTTAAGAAATTTATTTAATTATTTCCTACGAAAGTGGCTCTATGATTGCTACTATTTTAGAACAGAAAATCTGAAGCTGGTCACTTTGAACGCCATGGTAGATTTAAGGTCCTTTATACTCACCGACAAGTTGACCACGAGCCGAGCGGATTGATAGTGCTGAATTTCGTTATACTATTGGGTTGGCAACTAAGTAATTGCCGATTTGATCAATGAAATACAAAATTCTTTTTTAATTAGAATGAAGTTTAATCTGTAATGTATTTTCCATTTTGTTCGATGACCTTTTGCCATCTCTCTGACAACTTGAAAATTCCACGCTCGTAGAAGGTCTGATCCTTTTCGGCCAAAAACTGAGTTAAGTGAGATTTTACAGCGTCATCATCATTAAAAGTTTTACCACGAAGGGAGTTGTCCAGGGATCGAAATAAGTGGTAATCCGATGGCGCGAGATCAGGGCTATATGGTGGGTGTAACATCAATTCCTAACCAATATCCATTAATTTTTGCCGAGTGGACAAAGACGTGTGCGGCCTAGCATTGTCCTGGCGGAAAATGACACCTTTACGATTGACCAATTCTGGTCGTTTTTCCTTAACCGCTGCATTCAATTTGACCAGTTGCTAACATTCACGTATAATAAAAAATAACATAATAATAATAATAATAATAATTTTATAATATAACATTTACGGATATCATAAAAATGGGAGTGAGAGACATCTATAACTGAAATCGGCAATTATTTAGTTAGCAACCCAATAGTATAGGTTAATAAAACAATAATAAAATATTATTGACCTGCTCGGCTCGTAATCGGCTCGTCGGTGAGTATAAATGGTCCTTTAATTGTTGTACTACGCAGCTACGTGTTTAACGATGATTCTGAAAGGAACATTAAAGTATGACATTCGCATATTGCAAACATTAATATATGACTAAGGAAAATAATTACGTGGCCTGTTTTAGATAGAACACCCTGTATATCGTAATATGAACAGAAGCATGTGGTGACTCGTGTTATATTTGCTGACGGTGTGTACAGAATGGCTGATAGAGACAAACTTGGTAATATCGAATCGTTGTGACGTCAGGACACAGCTAGAAATATTTTCCTACATTTCAATTGTTGTATTTCTCGTCGGTTCGATAATATACGCTTTCCATCCTTGTCTCGCAGTTTCCGGAATTCCCTGATCTGCGAATTCGTTTTGATATCAATGAATTAGTAATTAGTGTGACGAAAATTTAGTACATGTTTTAAAGTGCTCACTTCCTCGGCTTGTATCGGGATAACTACTGGAAACACGATCCATATTACGCATTCAGGATATTCGGAAGCATTATACGATCCGTTGTACGTGTAATACCTGCTACAGAACGTTGCACTGCGCATAAATGCCAAGGAGTCTGGAACAGGGTTGTAAACTGTATTCTATGTTCCTCCGAGAGAAAATGTCACGGTCCAACACTAAGCTTACGGGACTCGTCAAAATGATAAGTACAAAATGTTTTCATCTATAGTGGATAACGAAAGTATTCGAACACTAGTACAACTTTGACTTCTACGGCATATGTATTTCGGAGAATTTAATCGTGGGCTTCGGTTACCATATTCGTGTGGGCTGACAGTTACACGAATTTTCCTCGAAATCTAAGAAGTTTGATGTCGCGCTTGAGATTGCGCCAATGAATTATAAACGAGCAGCTGGTTTCGACCTGCCTCAATGAAAAATTGTTATTGTGTAGCTTTCGCGCCAACTCGAGGTCACCTGCTACCCTAATTAACTCGGTGCGGTTATAATACGTCACGAAAACATAATACGGTAACTCGAAGGGCAAAGTTTAATTACAAATCGTCCTGTCGAAGAAGTGGGGCAAGGGGACCGCGGGTCACCATCGCAAGTTCGACATTCGTGAAGTCATTTGTTCGGCAGCGTTGGATCGGGAAGGATGAGTCCGCAGACCGCGATCGCGACCGCCAGTCCGACATTCCTAAAGTCACTTGCTTGGCAACTTTGGATTGGGAGAGTCGGTCATCCTAACCACTGGAACACTCGGCATTCGGAAAATTCTATTCTTGGTTATTACCAACTAAATATTTTAATATTTTAAATATTTTAACGATATATTTATCGTTAAAATATTTAGTCAGTACATGTGGTCATTAGAATATTCGGTCGCTGAGATATTTCGTGTTTGAGATCGCACCCATAACACGTTCCGTGCCGAGCTTTTTTTACTCGAATCTTCACACTTTGATATTTTACTAAAACTTGATGTATTACGTGCAATTATTAATTCTCGTACACATAACAACGTAACAAAAACTTATCAACGCCCATTCTTGCGGTGGAAATTGATTCTTCGGTTCTAAATTTCTTGTAAACAATTTGTTCAGTTCACTAAGTAAACATGCAAGCGTGTACCATCGATGGTACACGTGGCACGGAACGTGATAAGTCGTAAACGAGCAGCGGGTTTCGACCTGTCTCAAGAAAAAGTTATTGTTGTATTATTCGCCCGTAGCCTAGGGTAGCCCGTTACCCTAATTAACCCTTTCGCTCCGAACGACGGATATATCCGTCATCCATATGAACACTCGCGGAGCCGAACGCCGGATATATCCGACATCCACATGATCGCCCTCTGGGGACGAACGCCGGATATATCCGACATGCTAGTAAAATCGCGACCTAATTTTTGGACTGCACCGCCTCTTGTTACTATTGCGTGAATCTTTTGACGAAACAAACAAACGACAGTCCGAAATAAACGACACACCATTCAAGTTATATTTGTTCTACCTGCATTTCCCATTATTATTGTGTTACATGTCATAAAGGGATAGAAAATCG